AAAATTAAAAAATTTTAAAAATTTTAAAAAAAGATGTTTCAAGTACCCTATAGGTTAATTAAATAATTTAAAACTAAACCATTATCACCATTACAGGTACCACAGAAAAAGTAGGGTTCAGTGTCTCAAGTCTACCAATGGTGGAGACAAATGCAGATGGTTTAAAAAGTTCCTAAAAATGTTGCCAAGGTAAACTCCTAATCCATACTTGGCAAATTAGAAATGAAACACAATTGCCAATATATTTATCAGGGTCCACTCAACCCATATCAGCTTTATGGAGGCATGTCTAACTATGTGTAGCATGTAATATAGGGATCATAGCACAGCTTCTTACCAGAGTTTCTTTTTCATTTCTGAAAAATTTACCTAAAAGTCAGCATCATATGGGCTCTTTGGATCCATTTATAAAAGATACATATGGAATTGTAGTGACCTTATTTTTTTACCTCAACATGTTGAAATATTCTGCTATTTTATCAACCTAGTATATACTTTGGAGCTTTGGTGGCCTACTATTTTAAGAAGCTGCGCTGCAATCCCAAAGACACATGGTTCAAAAACACCAGAGGCTCTTCAGGAGAAAGATGGGCAATTTCTTCACATGCAATTAAATGCCTCTGAAAACCTGCTGTAGGGTCAACTATGGTTTGGTTTTGACTCAACAATACACAACAACAACAGTATATATTTACCATTGTAACTGGGTGCCATCAGTTAATTCTGACTCCATGAAGGAAAAGCATACCAAAGGGTATTCTTGATTTTAACTGGCAGGAAGAGAGCACCAAATTTTTCTCCTGCAGAGTATAATTTTGTCCTAACTATACTGATAACAAGGGAGCTCTAGTGGCCTAGTGGTAAGGGGAAGCACTGCTAAACCAAAGTCACACAGTTTAAATTCAGCAGCTACTCTTTGGGTAAAGATGGGCAATTTCCTCCTGTGTGATTTACTGTGAGTTGGTTTCGACATGAAGGTACACAACAAATTGATAACACTCACTCACCCACCCACCTACCCACCCACTATTGTCAAGTTGGAACGAACTTAACAGTTGACCCTCCAGTTGGTTTCTGAGTCTATTAACTCCATAGGTGGGGATTGCTCACCTTTCTCTCACAGTGCCACTGGTGGATTCGAATGGAGAGAGGTGAGTCCCTTCAGTTAGTAGCTCAACTCTTTAAGGACTACACCATACTGATAAAGAGTAAGCTAATATGAAATAATAATAATAATAATGGGATTGGTTATACTTAGAGAAGTTCTGTTCAAAAAAATATACTGCAAGCCACAAATACTAGCTATACATACATTAAATTTTCTCTTACTAAGAGTAAAAGGGAGCTCTGGTGACCTAGCTCGGAAAAACCTATACTGCAATCTCAAAGGCAGGCAGTTTGAATCCATCAGCTGCTCAGGAGAATGATGGTCAAACTCTTCCCATGCAATTTACTGCCTCTGAAAACCTGCTGGAGGGAATCACTAGTATAGCAGAGATTAGTGAGATTGTCCATCTGTCTTTCCTGGAGTTGCTGGTGGATCTGAATCTCCAGAGAGGAGCTGCCTTTGAATTAGCAGTGCAACTCCCCGTGGCCATCGCCACCAGAGCTCCCATGCTAATTATCTTTATATCTTACTGTCGTTGAGTAAGAATCAACTCACAAGTGATCTTCCAGAAGGTTTTCAGAGGCAGTAACTCACACAGGAGAAGACTGCCCATCTTTCTTGTGCACAGCAACTAGTGGAGTCTAACTGCCTGTGTTTGGGATGGCAGCACTCCTTACCTATTATTAGGCAACTAGAACTCCCTATTCGAAACACACACCTAACCCAAATCCAATCCAAATGCCAGGTAGGAAGACTCTAACTCATGGTGCCTCTTTGTTAAGATGGTCTAGCTTTCTGCCTTGGAGAAGGTGGTGGGTTTGAATCGTCAGTCTTCTAGTTAGCAGTGCAGCACATGTGCTGTGCTGCTAAGAAGGAAAAATAAAGACACTGAAGACTGATTTACTGCACAAACTAGGCACTGTGGTGTATTTACAAAAGCAAATCACACGGGATCTAGTCAGGAACTCATAATACAGCCGAGGGAAAGATATGTAAAAGTAGATCAAGTAACCAAACCAAAAAGCCAAGCCCATGCCAGGGGTCTACTTCACTCAAAGCGACCCTCCATCAAGATCCCAAGGCTACCCATCTCCACAGAACTCTGTCAGGGAGCAGATGATGGATTGAACTGCCAACCTTTCAGTTAGAGCCTGATATGTGCATTCTTTAGTACACACTATGCCATGAGGGCTCCTCAGATTTAATACAGGTACTCAAAATAAATGTAAAATCAAAGATTTATGAATATGGAGAGGAAAAAAAAGAAAAGAAATTGTGAAAAATAAGGACTGGAAATGAAACTGCCTATACCTGCGCCCCATTTTAAAACCATTTCTAGTTTGCCTTTCCACTCCACCTTAATCAGCTCAGCATGTTAACATTATCAGCAAGTTCATATTCTCATATACCAGGGCCTTTTCTGTAGGCCTTTCATTTCTAAATGGTAAGCTAGTGGGGGACTGACTGGGCAGAAGCAAGCCTAATTACTTAGTGTGAGAAGGAAGGCTACTGTTTTGGATACAGTTCCTGAGTAGTAGGACCATTAACCCAAAGGTGTATGGCAACAATGTCACCTCATGTGGCAAAGGACAATGTGGAACCAGACAGGGAAAGTCACTTGAGAGTAGGATGACGTTTGCAATGCTGACCAGGAGTGTGGCCAGCTCTGAACATGACTGGAGACACGAATGTCTCAATCTCAGTCATCTATGTCAGCTGCATTGAAAAAGAAGCCACTCTGGGTCACCAGTGACCCCTGTCCTTTGCAGTAGCACTATCATCCTCCTAAGTCACCAGTGTCCTCCATCTCTACTGGCTTGAATTCACCTGATGCTTCTCAGGAGGAAGATGGCAATCTCCTCCTGTGAAACTTACAGCCTCAGAAAACCCAGTGCAGTCAGCTATGAGTCAGTTCTGACGCAATAGCAATGAGAGACAGTCCCTGAGGTAAGGCAGTGAAAGTGAGCTGAAGCAGAAGTGAGCAGATACCCAATATTAGCAACGGTAATACAAAGCCAAATAATTCACAGTTAGTTTTATAACAAACAAAGCAAGCTTTGACTAAAACAGAACATCATGCTCCCTTCTTCCCAACATGCACATAAACCTCAAATAATCAATATTAAAAACTCTTTAGAGGGAAAAATGTTGTTTGAGATTTTTGCAAATCACTGCATGCTTTGATGTATATTCTGGGAAGCACAGCATTTTGTAGCTTGTGGTATACATTTCCTTTCTGTTTAGTTGATTTTAAGAGTATGGATGTGAGCAATAAGTATATACAGAACAAGTCTTTGTATGCTAGTAGAGCCATAAGAAAATAGATATATATATTAAAAATCCCAAGTTTATTGCTTTTTTATTTACAATAGCAAAGAGCTGGAAACAATCCAAGTGCCCCCCAACAAACAAATGGATAGAGAAGCTGTGGTATATTCACACAATGGGATACTATGCTGCATTGAAAAACAAGGAACTCATGAAATATTATGAAAAATGGATGACCCTGGAGGACATTATGCTGCGTGAAATATCTCAGTCACAAAAGGACATATACTGCATAGTGCCACTGTTGTAAAACAGGACTGACATAGGAGTTGGGGGAGACTGAGAAAGATGGGATAAATTATGTATACTGCATTGAAACAGATGAGGGAGAAAGAACTGTTTAAAAGGGATATGTTATTGTTGTTCTTACGTGCCGTCGAGTCATTTCCGACTCATAGCGACCCTATGCACAACAACCCTAAACGCTGCTCTGACCTGCACCAAACGCACCGCCTCTGACACACCCATCCCGATTACCCCAGTCAC